AAATTATGTAAAGTATTGTCAATATATACGTAAGTGACTGCAAGCTAAGTGCAGCAACCGTAGCAAGTTGGTCATAGAGTTTAGGACTAGCCTCATAATTCAGTCTAGCCGGGTGGTTAAGAGCTCACTATGTGGGCTATAAAGACCTGGGTTCAAAGCCTGGCTCCAACACATGTAAACAGTATGACCGTGGGTAGTTATATTACCTTTGAAAACTTCATATTTACATGGTTGTTATAAGGATTACATAAAATTATGTAAAGTATTGTCAATATATACTTTTCAAAAAGTTAAAAATATGACTGTCATACAAATATGAAGTGAACATGTCTCAAATAATTATTAATGTGTTAATGAGGGATCTAGCAAGATGGTAAAGCTGGTTCAAAGAGAATTGGAAACAGCAAAATATTTGTGGTGGCTGAAAGAAAAGTGCTTGAATAAGAGCTTTAATTTGATACAAAACTAGTTAATGTATAGAGCAGCAAAATTGTGATTTTTAGGGTTATCATTTCTACCAGAAAATTACTTACATGTGTACTATCTCTACTAGATAAATTTAATTTGTCTCATGAACAGCAGTTGTTCTCAAGCGTGGGTGATTTTGCCCTCCAGGGGACATTTGGTATCATCTGAAGACGTTTTCAGTTGTCACAACTGGGGAAGGGGGTGCTACTGATATCTAGTGGCATCTAGCCATGCACAAAAGTATTATCTAGCCCCAAATGATAATAGTGCTGAGGTTGAGAAACCCTATCAGTTTCTACAAGTTAACATCTACCTTTATGAGATTTAAAATGTCCAAATCAAAATAATATACTAAGTCAAACAAAGGTACGCATTCCTAGAGAATGGGATAATCTTGGGTGAGTTGGCTAGACAATGCTCAGATAACCCTGAAGCGATATGCAGGAACTCCTTTAGCCCATTTTCAAGTTTTAGAAAAAAATTTTAACAGCACTTGACACCATACATAGCACATGGTAGGTGCTCAATAAAGGATAGTTATTATTATAAATTTACAGGTCACTAGGTAGAAGTCCAAATGCTCATAGAATAAAATAAACACAGTACTAGACCCCAAGTCTTTAAAGAACATTACAGCAGCAGCAGCAGCACTGTTGGAAATTACTTTCTTGTTGGATTATTTCATCATGGTCACTCTGAGGTTTTAAGAAAGTCCTAACGTATAACCTTCAGACTAGTGGACGGAAGGTCACATTTAAAAATACAGTCATGCTCTCTCTTCCTTCCTCCTGCCGTGTGGTCTGCTTCTACCCTCTGGATGCCTGCCACTTTCCGCTACAAGTAGAAGCAGCCTGAGGCTTACACCGGATGCAGCTCTCCTAGAATCTTAAGCAAATAAACCTCTGTTCTTTACAAGTTAAAAAAAAAAATACAAGTCATATTGAAAAATTATCCTGAAATTTTCTAAACTAAAAAAACCAAGCCTCTCTTTCTGCCTGAGAAACTGTACTACCAAATTGACAGTTCCCAAGATATCCTTAGGAAATCCATTGGATGTCTGATGTAGAAAAAGGTATGGTAAGGTAAAATCTCAGGATTTCAGTCTGTGACACTTTCGATAGCCAAAATGTATTCTATGGGCAAATGGTATATGCATGGTATCCCAGAAATAAGAGATGGGAATTGTTTGTTTTTGTTTGTTTTTTTTTTTTAAGAAAGAAAAAGCAGTAAGGACAGCTAGACCTTCTTGAAGAGGGCACTGCCTTGGCTCACTGAATAGAAGTAGCTCTGGTGCCAAGCTGGCAAAATTTGCTGGAAATCCATTCTCTAGGGTGCTAGTGAAAAGCTGCTCATGGGGAGATGTTTCTCTAGAGGAGCTCCACTACAGACCCACACTACAGGAGCTGAAACCTGGAGAAGTCATGCTGCAGGCACCTGGCAAGCAAGTGCACAGGAACCAAAAACCAGAAACTCTCTTCCTCCAAGGTTCTCCAGCGCCATCTACTGACAAAGTATAACGTCATGCCATTTGGCAAAAGGAAAATATTTAAAGGGCCCAGATTCATTTTCAAAGATGCAGCAAAAAGGGAGAATTTGGAACTAAAAGTCAATAAAATCAGTAACGGACACAAGAGTGATTCTGCAATATCTTTGGAGGCTGATAATAATGATAATTTCAGGCTTGTGTAATCCAAATAACAGTACAGTGTGGGCCCTTCTTGGTCTGCAATCTGGTATTTGTGAACTATGGAGCAGTAATTCTGAAAGTGTGGCCCCTGGTTCACAAATATCAGTATCACCTAGGAACGTGTTAGAAATGCAGATTCTAGGGACTTACCTCAAATGTACTGAATCAGAAACTCTGGGTTTTAGGAATAGTAATTAATGTTTTAACAAGTCCTCCAAGTGATTCTGATACATGCTAAGGTTTGGGAACCATTGCTATAAGCAGGAAGTTCCAGGAACTTCCTTGTGCAAGATTGAAAGGAAGAGTCAATAGGGGATTTCTTTGTATGAGCTTTATTCTCAATCTTTCATCTTGAAGAAGACAACTTAACTTCTCTAGGATCTGGAAGTGGAGCATATTATTATGTCTCTACTTTTGCATTGATGACATTTCTGGACTCATGGGCATGGATGCATTAGATATTCTCACTTTGGTAAGAAACTTTGCTTTTGGTGTTCTCTCACCCTCAGATCATGCTTCCCTGATTAGGGCCCAAAAGCTGCTACTGCAATTTTCATCTATTTCTGGCTGTGCACCAAGTGGAAAGTAATGCCTTTTCCATATTCCTGCTTCTTCCTAACTCCCCGCCATTGATGAAGTACTGAAAGCACACCTAGAGCTACAAACCTATGGTCAGCACAGCCAGGCAGTGGCTTGAAAGCACACCTAGAGGGGCCGGCCCGGTGGCGCACTGGATAAGTGCGCCACTTGGGAAGTGCGGCGGCGCTCCCTGAAAGCACACCTAGAGCTACAAACCTATGGTCAGCACAGCCAGGCAGTGGCATGGAGCTTCCAGGAGCTCCCCACTGCTTCTTCTCCCACAGATAACCTCATGAGTTGGCTTGCCTCCTTGGTTAGGTAGGCTCCAAAAGTCCAGAACAGAAAACTTCATTTTCCCCTGACACAGATCTTGCCTTTCCAAGCTCCTCAATTTGCTCCTTTCAAGGGAGAGAGGAAGAGATGATATATTCTAATGGGCTATTTTCCTGCCATTCTTTGATCTAAAATGAAACATGTATGTATGCATGTTTTTGTGGTGTCAGGATTGTGACCTACCCCCAGTCCAGCCACTAGCTAGCTGCATGGTTGTTGGATAGGTCACCAGCTCTGTTTTCAGTTTTCATACTGAGATACAGAGCATTGGACCAGCAGATACTGCTCCAACAAGTTTATGATTCTATGTAATATTGCAAGCCTGCTGGGCTTGAATCTCGTCCTTTAGTGTAACAGTTTGTGTACTTGAACCTCAATCTTTAATATAATAGTTTGTCTCTTAAACCTCCTCCCATCTTTAATACTAAGCACAATGAGGCCTTTCTTTAGCAAATTCATCCTAAAGGGATTGAGATTATTTATTCACAGAAAGTGAAGACTTAAGCAGATTTGCTCCTTGCCAAATATATATTGTTTCTTTCTAAATAGACACAATATCACCATTAACTGCTTTGATAAAGAGTAACTGTAATGTGAAACAGCACATACAGAAATGAAGTTGTGGTATTCTTTATTTCAAATTCCAGATTTATTTCTCACTGATAATAGTAATACTTCTTCCACAAATTATGTGCATGTTTCCATTTCAAATGTCTGTTGCTCAGGTTTTTGTTTCTATTTTTGTTTTTGCAAGAGAAATGGACTTTCTCTGACCTATTTTCAGATGCTGAAATGGGGAGAAAAGTCAAGTGTAATGATTCTTAATCAGCAGGGCCATTCTTCTCTAGGGGAGAAGAGGACATTTCAGAAATTCTTAGAAGTTTAATAATCATATCTATATTATATTTTTATCTTAAAGAACAAAATATCTCCCACTGCTGGATAAAATCAAGGCCTGGGAGCATGTGCAGAAAAAGGCTGTGGGAGATACTTTCAGTGGCTTTCCTTTTTCCTCCCCCTTCCTTGCTAGAAGACCCTTGACTTTACTGTGTGGCAGTATCCCAAGGCAATGAGTCATGATTGGTCTGACCTCTTCCCAGCCTCCCTTATGGTGAGAAGTGACTATATGACGCAGTTCTGATGAGAAATGAGAGTAGAGAGATACAAAGAAGTTAGGTCAGAGAAAGCCTTGGCCACACTAAGAATTTCGAACTTTATCTTTATCCCACCCTACATCATACCAAGTGCTGTTGATATCTCCACCTTAAAAAGACAAAATCAAGATTTAAAATAGCTTGATTGAAATCATATAGCTACTAAGTGGATAAACTGTAATTTGACCCTAGATTTTGTTTTTGTTTTGTATTTTTTGTACTGTGTGGGACCCAAACAACACCCCTAATCATTACTGAGTGCAAGCTAGTTGGAAAAAATGAAACAATGGGAGGTGAGTGAATGAGTCTGTAGAGAATGGTTAAAGTTAATGAAACAATATGTTTTATATTTACAACAAGTGAGACAGTTGTGGGCAATCTGTTTGTTGTTGATTGGTACATAATTTAAATTCCAGCACTGAAAGAGGCGTCAAGAAATCACACAATTAGATCCCCTGACTGTGTTTCTCAAAGAAAAAGTCCCCTGAATTCCATATGATTGAAGTAACTTCTTATTTTTGTGGTTTTAGACAACTGGTTGACAAAAATAAATAAAACACAGGAAAAAACCCCTGTTTGTAATAGTCTCAACATAACATATAGGTATTTGACATGCTAAAAAACACAGTAACAAACAAAACATAAAAAAAAAAAACCTCAGATACTGCAGCAAATTGTTGATTTATTCAATGTGACTACTACTCCCAATAATGCTATTATTTGCAGGTGGTAAGTGTTGGTATGGGATGGTACACAGCAGCATTTTCCAAAACCTCAGATACTGCAGCAAATTGTTGATTTATTCAATGTGACTACTACTCCCAGTAATGCTATTATTTGCAGGTGGTAAGTGTTGGTATGGGATGGTACACAGCAGCATTTTCCAAACTGTGGGTTATAATCAATATTAAAAAATTAAAACTTAAAAAAGGTCACAGTACGTAAGATCAATGTCTTGTGATACTTGATGTGTGTGTGCATACACATCCATGCATAGACACACACCTACATCCACACATACACACACGTACACAAACACATAAACAATGGATTTTATATATATTGGATTGTGATGTAATACTTATTTCTTACTCTGGGTTCCAGTCAAAAAAGTTTGACAGTCATTGGGACAGAGGAATTGACTTACTGTTCGTGAGCTACGCTGTATCTATGCATTCTCTGTAGTCAGAGCAACTCCTTAAGGCAGATTCTGTCCATTGGCATGGATATTTACTGTTCCACATGTTGGGAAAACCACGTATGATAAAAAAAAATAAACACGCAAAACAGCAGCTGTCATTGTACCATACAGTACATATTGTATCTTGATTAAGGCTCTTAAATATATTCCTTTGAATTTCTCAATTCACCCCAGGAAGGATTTGCTGCATTCCATCTTTATGTTGTTACTTGCCAACCTTGGAAATAAATATAAAAAGAAATTAATGAAGAATTTCAATTCTCATTTTATTAAATATTCACAACAACGACTGTAAATCTAAGGATGTTAAGATAACAGGGATTCTGGAGCCAAAAATGCTGGTCTCCTGTAAAGAACTAGATTGAGTCCAAGTCCATTCTTTTAATCCTTGCATTACATTTTAAGCATATTATAAGATATCAGATATCCAGTATCATTTGCAATTGATATAATAATCCTTGACTTCAGGGAATGAAATAGTTTGAGGACTAGAAGAATATCACAAAGTATGGCTGGCTGTGGTATAATTCTTATTTTGGAGTATTATCCTTGATGTGGAAAAAGAAGTATAATAACACTTGAAATCTTTTTTCTTCAAAGAAGGAAGCCTAGCTGAATACTTGATTTGGCTTAGAAATTCAATGATAAACCTACAATATTCTTCTTACACAGCTGGTGTTGGAGAACACACATTTTTTAGTGTAGTATTGTATCTTTAATATATGTAAAATGTAAAAATAATTATACTCTTTGGCCAAGCAAGTGCCACTTCTGAGAATTTACCCCAGGGATATAATTCAAAAAGAAGAAAACCATAATACATAAAGATATTTTTACAGCACATTATTTATCAATGTGAAACACCTGTGACAACACTAAATATCCAACAATTAGGAAATGGTTAAATGATCTTATGTTAATTTGGACTATTATACTAGATAATTATACTGCTATTATTTTATAACTAGAAATAATATTTTAAATTCAGTGCAGAAAAATACCCATAGAAAAATACAAACATCTGATAATTAAATTTTTACTTTGCAATTTCTTATTCCTTTCATTTGGAACCAGACATTTGACATCTCTCTTCTGAACTAAAATGTCAAGGTGAAGTCTTACATCTCACTTCAGGGTGCAAAACAGAACTCAGCCTGGAGTCTTAACTGGGAGAGAGAGTTTCATTACATAACGAACTCTATAAAGCTGTGTAAATACTAAACACTAATTTAAAAATAGAAATAGGGCTGGCTGGTTAGTTCCGTCAGTTAGCACGTGGTGCTGATAACACCAACGTCCAGGGTTCTATCCCTATGCTGGCCAGCTGCCAAAAGAATAATAAAAATAAAAAGTAAGAATAAAAATAGAAATAAGCATGGCTGATTAAACAGTGTCCTTGCAAAGCCTTGTAAAAGAGAGACTGATGTGAACAGCAAAAAGACTGGAGGTGCACTCATTAAAATGTTAATATTGATAATTGGTGGGGATACAAGTGATTATTTCCTCCCTTTTGCTTTTATATTAAAAATTTTTTATAATTAATATGCTTTTATAATAAGATAAAAAGAAACATTTTCAAAGGGAGTTTGACCATTCCTGGTGGCTAGACTACTCTGTTATAGTGAGAATAGGTAATGATTAAATTTTGCCTCAAACTTTGGATTTAAATAAGGATTGAATTAAATATACAAACTTTATGTCCTTATTCTCCCTTGTTTTTATTTCATTAATAATTAAATTCAATTGTGGTTTTCCTTTCATTATTATTACTATCATAATTATGATTTTATATACTTAGAACGAAAAATTAGCTGAACAAGTTTATGAGATGTTATGAGAAAAAACGTGAAGAGTATCCAGTTGAAACATTTGAGCAGCCTCCCCAGCAAGCTCAGTCTCATTCATACTCAGGGTTAAACCAGCCTATGCTGAGGATCCCGCCAGACCAACTTTGCTGGGATACTGTGAATGAAAGAGATAGGAAAGGTGGTGGGTTACTATAAATAAAACAGTCACTTATTTATGCAACTGAGAAAAACTAACAAATTTTGGAGGTAGGAAAAGCTGACTGCTTTTGATATTATGTCCGTTCTAATGTTTCTGTTATTTTTTTTTTTAACTTTATCCAATATCTACAACATAAGCAAGGTAGCCTTAAGTGGCATAGTTGAATACTTCCTTACCTGCCTCTAGGATATAGGCAAGGAAAGAGGAGAGGTGTCATACACATGGAGATTCACTTTATTGTGAGCTCCTGTCAAAACAGGCTGTACTCAGGCGTTGGAGCAGACAGTAAAGGCTAGATTTGGAATGTACTGGACACAATTTACCTGAGCCACATGACCAAGCCTCCTTTCTACCTTTATCAGCAGGTAGATCGTAAGACCAAACTCCAGTGTATGACTTGGCTTCTAAAGGAGAATTAGACCTGAGCATTGGCCATTATTGAGAAGATGGAGAGGTACAGGTGTCCCGCATCTGAAGCATCCCTGGAAGCATCTGACTAGGGCTGGAAAGAGGAGCCAAGAACTCGCAGAGAAATGGCTCTGGCTCAGGTGCTATCATTTATGAAGGCTGAGCCCCTCCCATCACCCTACAGTCTCTGTATACACTTATGTTGGTGTTCTGAGCTTTATTGTGGGAGGCCTGTCTCTCATCAGAGTAACAGATGGTGGGTTGGTGGACACAGCTGGCAAGGATTATAAATTCTACTTGCAAAAATAAATTTTAAAATGGTCTTGAAATTTCTTCAAATAGGTTCATGCCTACATAAAGGGCTGATCTTAAAATTAGGAATGTGTAGGATCAATAGGCTGCCTACTTGGGCTCAGTGCCCTAGTTAGAGAGTAATTTATTGAAGACATAGTAAATCTAATCCTTATTGTGAGATGATAGCATTCGGACTAGGGCAGTTGTTTCTCTCCCCCCAAAATCATATAATATTCTTCACTGCTGTAGTGTTCATACTGTCTTCTCTTGAGCCAGGTTATGATTACATTTTGCCTGTGTTGGCCATGGAAATATTTTTACTCAAAATAGCTCAAATATAACAGCAATTAAATCTATAGCTTTGTCCTCCCAATACACTTTTTCATCCTTCTTCTTCTGTCTTGATTCTACCTCCTGCCCCGATTTCCCTTTGGAAAATTTTAAAAATCAGGTCTTCAGTGGAGTATTCAATTACAAGATAGGGTATATGATTCAGTCATGGCCAATCAGCATATGCTATCTCCCTGGCCGTAGTGATCTGTTTAGCAGTCATGTGACCCAAGAAGGGCCAATCAAAATCTTCCCTGGGATTTTTCAGCTAAGATGGAAAACTTTAAAAAAAAAAAACGTTTAAAATAAATAATTTTAAATATATGCAAAAGTAATGAGAGCATATGAAACTTCTTGTACTCAATACTGGGCTTCAACATTTATCAACGAGTGGGCAATCCTGAAAAAGGCAAACTGTCTTTTTATTCTGGGGCTGTTGGATGTAGGATGAGGGTGCTTCCAACAAACATCGTGTCTGTCAGTGGAGAGAGTATGACTTCAAAAGAAGCCCAGGCAGAAAGTAGAATTGAGGCAGAGCTGAGGACCCTACTGGAGCTCCTTAAAATTCAGCTGAGCCTGAAACTACTGCCACCCCTGTACTTACTTTCTTTTCGCTTAAGCCAGATTTAGGAGGATTCCCATCACTTACAAAAAGTGCTAATATGAGAACCTTAAAGAAATCCTCAATAAATATTTTTTTAAATATTGTGTTTATTTTTTAGGTATTTAATAAATAGAAACTCATGGGAAATGTTTAAGGGAATAAAGGAGAAAGGGGGCTCTAGACATATTAAAACAAAATTACTAGCATTTAAATTTTTTCTCTGCCAAAAGGATAATTTCAGTCCCACTGTAATAATAGCAATCCACAAAATATTTTATACTAAATAACATAAAATATCAATAAAAGATGTAACAAAGGGTAAATATTTTCACCCCTAAAAAAATAGCATTTAAATTTTTTCTCTGCCAAAAGGATAATTTCAGTCCCATTGTAATAATAGCAATCCACAAAATATTTTATACCAAATAACATAAAATATCAATAAAAGATGTAACAAAGGGTAAATATTTTCACCCCTAAAAAAACTGACAAATAAAAACAGTCTCCAAACCCAACAAAACCTCTGAATTTGAATTGTCTTCAAAGCAGTGAATGAATGAATACAATCACTCCTACATTAGCACTCTGGTATGTCACTCTTGGATACGTAATGAACTATTTTCCTGGCTGTTCCTCCTCTACCATCCACTTTGATGGCACAATACTTACACTTTTTGCTAGTTCTTGTATTAGATCTTCATACACTTGTGAAAAGAGGTCCTCTTCAGATTTTGTTCCATCTAGGTAAACTGAGAAGGGGGAAAGAGGGAAGTTCAAGTGTTAACAGGTTTATTGATACAGTATGCTTACTTTGGCACCTGACATCTCTTGCAAATGCCAATAGGTTTAAGCAAGGAACCCAAGACCATAACTTAAAAATAAATTCATAGCAATTAAAGAAAGAAAGAAATAGATCACAGCTAGGTACGACAGGTCAAAATTTTGCTTTGTTACAGAGAAATCCACATTGGCTGCTATGAAAATTACTTCAATAAAAACGAAAATGAAGAAGTAAAAAGTTAAGTGGCATTGTGCATATGGCATTTTAGAAGCACTGAAGAGATGCCTCCCCAAAAGACTTAAGGGAGGAGGAGTCTCCAACTTACTTATGCAGCAGTATTGTCTGTGAAGTTTCTTAAACCATGCAGCAGTCTGGGCTCTGCCACATAGGTACTGAGTCAGAATTCTCCAGGCCAGGACATAAATATTTTTAATAAATCTAGCATAAGCAGTTTTGGAGAAACAGTAGACATTAACTAGGTTAAAGAAAGGAAAGGACCTTCTAGTCAGAAAACAGCACAGGTAGGGAGGTACAAGAGGACTCTGTCTGTAAAAAAAAGATGCACAGTTTGGAATGGTTAGAATCTTGGGAGGCAGAACAGCATGAGAGATGAGATTTTAGAGTAAGGCTGTGCCTTAGTCTTTAGAGGCCTTGATGTCTGGCTGTATTTTACCCAAAGAGCTGGAGATAGTTGAAGGTACTCAGAAAGGGCAGGAGCATGGTTAGATTTGCACTTTAGATGGAGAGGGAGAGAAGAATGGTAAGAGGACATTGCTGCAACCAGTGGTCCAAGATGCAAGTGGGGTCGCAAGAACCACAGCTCCGGTCCTGGGGATGAGCTCCTTGTGCTTCTGCAGGCCCTGACATAGCTACATATCCTGAGGGCCAACAGGCTTCTCACAATATGGACGAGTCCCCTGTATTCTGAAAAGTTTACATCAGTTCTGATTCCTCTGCCTTATCCAACAGCCTTCTGCCAATTTCTCTGCTTTGAGCTCTAAATTCCACCAATCTGTTCTTAGCTTAGGTTGACAGGTCCAGATGCTTACCTCAAAATCACTACACTATGTCTCTCAGGCACCTCAGCCTCATTAAGTGCAAAACAGACTTGCATTCCTCCCTTACAGATCTGCAACTCCCCCGCTTTTTCCTGTTTTCCAAAATAACACCTGCCAGTTCCTGTGGTCATCCTCAACACCTCAATCTCCCGCACCCTCCAAACCTACTCAATCACCCAGTTCTACTGAGTGTCAGCATCCAATATCATACCCTCTAAATCCATCTGCCACCCATCCAGAGGGAGCTTACTGAACCAAGGATTTGAATCGATCATGTCCTTGTTTAAAACCTCTCTGCACAGAGCTTCTCACTTCTCGTAGGATAATAACCAAAGTCCTTACCTGGCCATTTGGCCTTGCAGCGTCTGGGCAGTCCTGTATCATTAGCATCAACTCTCTCCCTGGCTCTTCTCTACACAAAACTTTCTCCATCCCAGCCTTCTTTCAGGGGCTGCTCGTTCCTTCTGCCCCTTTTTTGTTGTGCCAAACCCACTGTGTGGGATGATCTTCCATCCCCCCAACCCACCTCCCTTTGTCCAGTTAAACCTGTTAGAGTTTGGTTTAAATGTGGCTTCCTCAAGCAAGCATTCTCCGATCACTGGGACTTGGGCAGCCGCCCCAGGCTCTGTGTCGCAGCACTTACTACAGCTGGAAAGGACATGGTGGTACAGCTAGTGTCTTTAACATCTCTTCCCTGACGGAATGTTGTTGTGTGACAGTAGGGACTGGGTCTGCCTTACTTGCCTTGCTATCTCCAGGGCAGCACCTTGCACATGGAAAGCGTTTGATCAGTACTAGTTGAATAAATGACCATTCAAGTTGACAAGCTATTGACAGGAGCCATAGAGAAACAGGAACCAGAAGAACCAGTTGTGGACAAGGGGGAGCCCAGACTGCTCCTGCTTAAAGTAGCTCTTAAAGTATCTTCTACACGAGAAAAATGCTTCCCAGGTCCTTTTTTTCCTGTACTTAGAGGAAAACAACAAGTAGAAGGACTCACATGGAGGGAGAAGAGGTGCTTACCAACTTCCCACGTGATGCTCTCCATTTCTTGCCTGTGCTTTAGGTACATGGGCCACTGAGAAAAATGCTTCCCAGGTCCTTTTTTTCCTGTACTTAGAGGAAAACAACAAGTAGAAGGACTCACATGGAGGGAGAAGAGGCGCTTACCAACTTCCCACGTGATGCTCTCCATTTCTTGCCTGTGCTTTAGGTACATGGGCCACACGTGGCCGTCGAAGTACCCTGGGGGGTCTGGAGGCTCGTAGACCCTTGTACTATCAAAACACGGAGGAAACTTTATGTTGGTAGAAATACACGATTGATAAAGTAAATTAATGATGGTCAGGATAATGGAAAAATCACTCAGAGATGAAATCTAAACAGGATTAGGATGACTTGTTTTAGATTCAATGGCAGTTAGAAAGACAATAAAATGGATTTGGTCGTCCGATCCTAAAGTTAACTTTGTAATTCACTGACTATCATTCATAATTACTTTTTTCCCCTCTAATGCTTCATAAAAGAATTAACAGACAAATATCAGTGTAAATAAATATCAGTAGAGATACTGATATGTTGGATTACACTTTAAACTAATTGTAACCGTAGCAGAATACAGGTACATTAACTTAAAATCATAATCAACATTTGATTTCTTCATTTGAAGATTTAGGAGAAATAATCCAAATAGCTTGCTGGAGGCCCTTTTCTTAGAAAAGTAATGTGCATTACTCCATGAGCATGTCCATTTATGGAAAAAGGTTTTGCTCCCTGTATAAAAGAGTTAAGGCTTCTCTTGTTTGAAAAACTACCTATACCCGTTGCTCAATAATATTGCTTTCCTCGTTTTTCCAAAATTTTGTCTTTTTAATTACAATCCACAAAGATGATTCCAAAATTTACCTCCTTCTCCTTTTACATTCATCATATGGAATGGTCAGAAAATAGCTTCTGCTCCATATAGTGTCAAGGGGCCTAAAATAAAGAGCATATTTAATTCACAAGGTTTTTTTCCCCATTCATTTGGAGTCAATATTGGAGTGGGGATACTTACTTATAATTAAAGAGAAGAAAACCTTCGACGATTAAAATGGGAGTCTCCTCAGCACCTCCCCTGTCTGTCGATACCAGAGAGTGTCTTGGGTTTTCCATCCAGCAGGAAATGGCTGACATCATTTTTTCCATGTTAAGCGCTTCAAGCACTTCAAACAAAATAAAAAACATGAAATCAATACAACATTTTGTGATGAGTATATCTAGGGCTCTGTAAAAGTATAAAATAACACCATTTTATTTACACTTCAAGACACCTAATAAATATTTTAGATAACAAATTTAAACTCTAATGTTGATAAACCAATATGTTTGAAACATTTTTATTATGAAAAATTCAAACATATACAAAGTGTAGTAAAATGAATTCTCATGTCCCTATTACCAGCTTTGATGATCATAAACTCATGGCTAACCTTGCTTTGTTTATAACTTCTACTCTCTCCGGACTACACAAAAAATGAACAATTTTTGGAAGACACAATATCTATAGATAAGTTTGAAACAAGAATGACACACTGGGGAAAATATCTGTGATGTATTTGGCAAAGAGCTAATATCTTTAATATATAAACAGCTCTTATAGATAAATAATAATAAATCATAAAAAATTACAAAGGACACAAATACGTTATTTTCAAACTCTAATATGTTCATACTTTTTGACCTTACAATTGTGATTTCAGGAAAATATCCTATAACAATGGTTCTCAAAGTGTGGCACGTAGACTGGCAGTATCCACATCACTTGGGAACTTGTCAGAAATGCAAATTCTCAGCCACACTGTAGAACTACCGAACTGGGCCATCTGGACTTAGAGGTTTTTTAAGTGGAAGGTTTTTAAATTATGGACTAATTTATTTAATAGATATAGGACTATGAAATCATAGATATAAGACTATTAGGATTTTCTCTTTGTTCTGGTGTTAGTTTCAGTAAATGACATTTTTCTAGGAAATTATCAATTGCATCTAGTTTTCAAATTTAGTTGCATAATAAGTGTTCGTAATATCCGTTTATCTTTTTAATGTCTCTAGGATCTACGGTGGTATAACCTTCCTTGCTTTTGACATCTATTTGTTTCCTTAGGTGGCTGGCCTGTACGGGGACCCAGACCCATGACCTTGGTGTTATAAGGCCGCTCTCTGCTTTCAGTATCTATAATCTGTGCCTTCTCTATTTTTTTCTTAATCAGTCTTGTTTAACCTGTCTGAGGATTATTCAGATTCCTGAATCTGTAGGTTTATGCAGAATACCAAATTTGTGAAGCTTTACACCATTACTTCTTTGAATACTTTTTCAGACCCACACTCTCTTCTCTTTCTGAGATTCCAATGATATAAATATTATTATATCTTTTGTTATTGCTCCACATTCCTGTTCATTTCTATCCAGTATATTTTCTCTCTGTTGTTCAGACTGAGTTCTATTATTCTGTCAAGTTCACTGATTCTTTCTTCTGTAATATTTATTCTATTGAGCCCATCCAGTGAGTTTTTAAATTTCAGTTACTGTATTTTTTTCAGTTCTAAAATTTCCATTTTTTTTTTTCTGATGTAGATTAAACAAGGGGTTTTAAGCTCTTTGAATATAGCATACATCATGCAGGTGCTTTTTCTTCATTGCCTTATTTGATGCTCTCTTCTATTTGTTTCTGATGTAGATTAAACAAGGGGTTTTAAGCTCTTTGAATGTAGCATACATCATGCAGGTGCTTTTTCTTCATTGCCTTATTTGATGCTCTCTTCTATTTGTTTCTTTTTTTTATTTCTTCTATTTCTTTACTGACGCTTTCTAATTTTTCATGTTTCAAGCATGTATGCAATTGCTTGTTGAAGCCTTTTCATGACGATGGTCTAAAATCCTTGTCAGATAATTTTGACAGCTGTGTCATCATGGTACTGGTGTCTATTGACAGGTGGGGGTGGACTCAGCTTCCTGCAGATACTGGTGTGTGGGGGGAGGGTCCATGAGAGGAGCAAGGGGAAAGTAGGGTGCTGGCTCAGCTTCACTGCTGCTGGGTAGAAGTAGAGGGTCAGCTGTCCACTGGTCCTGCTGACAGTAGCTCACACTAGCTGGGAGAGGTAAGTGCAGGGCCAACCTGCTCCACCTCACCTCTTTGCTGCCAAGAGGGGTAAAAAAGTCAGCTGCCTGTTTGGCTCTGCTGATACAGCCCCTGTGGGTGATGTGGAGGCCAACACACCCCACCCTGCTGGTGCTGAGGAGGCTAGAAGTCTAGCTCCCCACTTGGCTCTGCTAACACCATAAGGGGAGAATGGTTTTTCGCCCTGCTGGTGCTGAGGCTAGAAGTCTAGCTCCCCACTTGGCTCTGCTAACACCATAAGGGGAGAATGGTTTTTCCTTTTGTGTTTGACTAGAGTAGGGTGGATATTATCAAAACAGTTTTCTATTCTGCTAGGTCACCCTTTCCCTGGCCCTTTGATGATCGGAAACAGGTTTCCTAGTGCCTTTTTGTCTGTGCTTACTGATGGTTGCATGTTACACACTCCCCCAGCACCTCATCCTGGACGTGGGGGAGTTGAAAAGAAAACCTGCGGAACACATAGCCATGTCATTCCTCAAGTCCCGACGTCCCTAGCCAGCTTGCTGTCTTCATCTTTCAGTCTTCTTTTGTTTGTATCATGCCCAGGCTTTTCAGTTATAAGAGTGAGGACCAATAACGAATGGGGCTAAACCATCTTGGCTGGAACCAGAAATCCTATAGCTGTGATATATCTTTATTATCATTCAATTAAAAATATTTTCTGATTTTCATTGTGATTTACCTTTTGACTCATGGAATATATAAGTGTTTTGCTTCAGATAAAATGTGATGATGTTTGGGACTTACTTTAAAATAATACAGAAGGAGAAAGTAGGTGTAGGTGAGAGTATAGATGAGATATAACTGGCCAAGAGTTCATCCCCTTTAAAGCTGGATGGTGAACTCATGGGAGTTCAGTATACTTTTCTGCCTCCTTTTTATATGTTTGAAATTTTCCATAAAAATGTTTTTAAAAATCAGAAAATAAAAGTACCTCGTAATGTTCAGACACTTGGGAATTTTCTGTTTACCCTTTTGTTACTGATTTCTAATTCAGTCAACAGTGATTAGAGAATATCTCTGTATTACTTCAATCCACTGCAATTTATTAGAACTTGCTCTATGCCCTCACATATAGTCTATTTGTGCTAATTTTCCATGTACTCTTGAGAAAAAAATGTGTATTTTGCCATTGTTGGGTGCATGTTCTATATATGTCAGTTTGGTCAAGTTTGCTAACTGTACTGTTAGAATCTGTTAAGCCATTCATAATTTTTGTCTTCTAGTCCCATTACTTTCTAAGTGTTAAGGGTTGAATTTTGCCCCCTCCCCAAAATTCATATGTTACATCTTAACCCCTAGTACCTCAGAATGTGGTCTTATTTGCAAATATATTTATTGCAGATATAATGATTTGAGCTAAGGTCAAGCCGGAGAAGGGCAGACCACTATTCCAATATGACTAGTGTCCTTATAAAAGAGAAAAATCCGGACACAGACACACCTGGGGAGAACACCAGGTGAAGATGATGGCAGAGATCAGGGGGTTGCAGCAGAAGCTGAGGAACACTAAAGATGGCCAGCAAACCCCCAGGGGCTGGGGAGAGGCGCAGAACTGATTCTCCCTCACAGCCCTCAGGAGGAACCAACTTTACAGACACCGTGATTTCAGACTTCTAGCTTCCGAAACTCTGACAATATATTTCTGTTGTTTAAGACATCCAGTCTGTGGTACTTTGTTATGTTAACCCTAGCAAACTAATATGCAGAGGAAGTTGTGTTAAAATCTCCCACAATAATTGTGGATTTGTCTATTTCTCCTCTTAGTTCTTTCAGTTTTTACTTAATGTATTTTAATGTTATGTTATTAGGTGCATACAAATTTTAAACTCTTATCTTCCTGTTGAATTGATCCACTTGTCCCTCTTTATCTACAATAATACTCCACCTTAAAGTTTACTTTGTCTGGTATTAGTATAGTGAGTGTAGTTATAGCAGTTTTCTTTCAGTAGGTGTTTCCATTGTATATCTTTTTCTTACCTTTTACTGTCGACCTTTCTATGTCTTCATATTTAAGTCTGTCTCTTTTAACGAGTTTATAGTTGGCTTTAAGAAAAAAATCCAGTCTGATAATTCTTGCAGTATTTTAGTTCATTTCACTTAATGTAGCTACTGATATTTGCATTTAAATCTATC